CTCTACCACTGAGCCACCTTCCCAGCCCTGGATGGAAAGTCTTTATAAAAGTATGCTTGGCATTTCCTTAGTTAATAAGGTGGGCGACCCAGAGCCATGCTGCATCCTCCTGTGTGAGGAAACATCTACACAGGTCTTCTGATTTCCTCTGAAATTAGGTAGGCATAGGTGGGGTGTGGTCCACTTCCTACTTGCCGTACGGTGCTAGGCAATGGAACTGTTTGTTACAATGTGCCTCAGAAAAATGTTGGGATCCCTTTCCCAGGAGAGAATTGGCCTTGTCAGCCCTACTGGCAGTAAGCTCCCTTTGCTCTACCAAAAAAAAAGAAAGAAAGAAAGAAAGAAAAAAAGTTGGGATTCACTCTACTGTGCATCACGAACACTTGTCATGTAAGCTGGCAAGATCATAGGGCACCAAGAACACTGAAATATATGTGCAGATAACATGAAAACTCTCCCGTTCTAGTCCCTTGGTAACTGACATGGAAGGCAGAACTCAACTGGAAGGAGATCAGAGAATATCAACACAAACAAGTATGTACGCAATACAAGCCTTGAAGAAGTTTGTTCCTTGCAGTGGGCTCTGCTCACCACACTGCCTCATTCCTTGAAGCCAGTGGGCAGCAAGAAGATAATCTCTTTGAAGAGCAGGGGGTTATTTTTGGTACTGGTACTGTGGTTTAACCTCAGGACTTGAGAGTGTTCCTTAGGTGTCCCGTTACTCAAAGCTAGCATTCTACCACTTGAGCTATAGCTCTACTGGCTTTTTGGTGGTTAGTTGTGAGTAGAAGTCTCATCAGAGTTTGAACTCGGAACCTTGGGCTTGCTAGGCAAGCACTCTGCAACTTAAGCCACACCCCAAACCTTTATTTGCTAGGGTCTCACTTTTGCCCAGAGCTGGCTTCAGACCACAAGCTTCCTACCTTCAACCTTTTGTGTAGCTGCAATGACAGCTATGTACCACATCTGGCTTACTGGTTGGTTTGGGGTGGAGGGAAGGGGAGAGTCACACTGATTTTTTTTTTTCCTTAGCGGGAATTGAAGTGCAATCCTCCCTAGCTCCACCTCCTGAGTAGCTGAGATTACAGGCATAAGTAACTGCACCCAGCCCAGAATGTTCCTAATGATGCCAGGAGTCTGACTGCTCTCTGAGGGCCTCAAGTAGTACACACTTTGTAGTGTATTTCATCTTACCAATCCAACAGTAAGTTGACCATCTTTCACCTTCTTCCCAGTGTGTAGCTGTTTAAAGAGTTCTAGTAATTCCTGCTTTGATACCAGATGGCTAAAGTTGTGTATCTGTCTCCTCGGTGGGGTCTTGTTTCCCTGAGCCTCAGAGTCCACAGTGCTGTTCTCAGCACAGGGCTCCTCATCAGGGTTGCTGTCCTCTTCTGAACATGTCTGCCAGTCCTCCTCATCCTCTCCCTCTTCTAGACAGTCTTCATATTCACTGTCGTCTTCATCACTAGGGGAGGGAGAACCACAGCCTGGGAGATGGTGGGTTTCACTGTGTGAAATTTCATTCCCATCCAAGCTGGAGCTTTCAGACTCAGCTGCACTGGCTTCTTCAGCATCTCTGTGTGCTTGTTCCTCAAGAAATCACAGCACAGACATTCACTTTTCCTTTTAGCAAAATATTTGGTGAAAACACTCAATGGAGCTATGGAAGATGGATAGAGGACAGAAAAGGTTATGCTGATGACCAAAAAGGGTGACCATGAGGAGAAGGAGGTAAAGTAAGCTGTTCAGTACAAGGACACAGAGCCAAACCATCTCAGCGCTGTCCTTGTAAGCAGCACACCTCCAATCTGCACTTCATAATTTTTTCCCTTTTGGTACCAGGGATAGAGCCCAGGGCCTGCACATGTTAGGTGAGCAGTCTACCTTTGAGCCCTAATCCCAATTCTGTTAAGCTTTTACAATTGCCTTTAGCAAACCAAAAAGCACCACCATGGAGCACAGATCCCAGTGTGTGAAATAGAGGAGCATTAAAACTCCACACCAGATGTGGTATTTACCTAGGAAGACTTTCTTAGAAAAGAGAAAGGCAACACTCACTACTACTCCTGAGTTTCTTAATTCATGTGAATCTCTACAGCTGACCAAACAAAAATAGGGAAGTTTATAGTGTCACTAATTTTGTTTTGAGACCAAGTCTTATCATGTACCCAGTTTGGCACTGACTTCTCAATCCTTCTGCCTCAGCCTCCAGAGTTGGGATTACAGGTGTGGCACCATCACACCCTATTCAGTCTCACTAATTCTTAACAACAAAGATAAAACAGATGAGATACAAACATCAAGAGAGTAAGTGTGACTTCATGATTATACCTGCAATCCAAGAAGAAATCTGCCTTACAAAAGAACCAGAAATTTTACGACAAATTAGCAATTAGTATAAAAAAGTCAGTGTATCCTCACTGTGAGCTTTTCTGAATAATTTCAAGCATAAAAGAAGCTATAAGTCAGGCATCAGTGGCTCACATCTGTAATTCTAGTTTCTCAGGGGGCTAAGATTTAAGGAATGTGGTTCAAAGCTAGCCTAGCCAGGAAAGTCTGTGAGACTCTTATCTCCAATAAACTACTCAAAAAAGCTGCAAGTGACACTGGCTCAAATGGTAGAGTGCTAGCCTTGAGTAAAAAGAGGCTCAGGGACAGCACCCAGGCCCTGAGTTTAAGTCCCAGGACAGGCAAAAAAAAAAGCAATAAAAATAAGAATGAGAGATGAACATGAATATTTAGTAGAAACATGGTTATGGTTTATGGTTAGAAGCAGTTCAACTGAATAAAAATTCTAACAACAAAGGATTTTGCAGTAGTTAAAAGTTAAACATAAAAAAAGAAAGTCAAGCCTTTGAGGACATTGCAATTTAACAGCTAACCAAGAGAAACAGGTATCTGACTAAAAAAGCTACATATTTGAAAACAAGGAAGTGGTCAACAACTGTAGAGGAAGAAGATAATTCTTACATAGGCAAAGAAACAATAAACATGAAGCTATTTTTAGTAAGCTTATGCTTGATACCTAGATATGGCTGTATGTATGAAATCACAATCTGAGAAATCACATAGAACGTTATATATTCCAAAAAGAAGCAAATGATGCCTTCTACAAGGAAGAAAAAAGTATCTTCCATAAGCCAACAACCATTAACAAGAGACTGACACTCATCTTAGCTGGGGAGCCTAAATATAAGACAGCAACTGGAGGCAACCAGGGCACTCTAGGGAACCATTTCCTCATGGAGTCTGCCAGTTGGTCAAGGATATAGGAATGGATCCTTTTTCCATTGACAGGGTTGTTGGCTTAGTTTATAGGACAGAACAATGAGGTATACAAATTTATTTCAACACATGGTTGTAGTACTGGGGTTTGAAATCAAGGCCTCAAGCTCTTGCTCAGCCTTTAGCCTTTTCCTTCATGGCAGTGTGCTACCAGTTGCCCCAAGCTTTTTGCTGGTTAACTGGAGATAGGAGTATCAGATTTGTCTGCCTGGAATGGCTTTGAACCACCACCTCAGAGTTGTCTTCTTAGCAGTCAGGATTATAGGGGTGAACCACCAGGGCCAATCCTTTAAACTCTTCTTTAAGACATTAAGAAACAATAGTTAAGATGGCAAACTGGTGCCCTACTGCCTGAGGACAGTAAATACCTATATTACTGCTGAGACCATTAAATGACTACAATGATATGTATTTACAGCAACGGTGTCTGCTAAAGAATAAAGTTTTATTTTTATTGGCTAGTTTTTCTTTCTTTTTGCGAATATATTTATATGGCTTCAGGGTGTCTGCAAGTCCACAAAAAGTCCAAGATCTCCTATCTCTGGTTCTGTGTTCAACAATATTATTAGTGATTTAGAAGAAAATATAGAACGTCTGCACATAAAATGCACAGATAACTCAGTGCAAGGAGAGAAAAACCAATTTACATAAAAAAAACTCTATTTGGGTCCCAATTCATTAATTTTACTATCCCAAGTTGAAATAAAAACAAAAAACACAAACTTGTCTACAAGTAAAAATAGAATGTAGTCTGCTAATAAGCTTTCATTTTTAAGTATTTGAAGGATTTGTTTTTTCTTGCTTAAATGAGACAACAGAGATGAATGGGGATGAATTAACAGAAGGTCTGAATTAATTGGAATATCATGTTTGCTAGAAATTTCAATCTCCAGGGAAGCCCCAGGCAAACAATACTAGTTGTAATGTATTCAAGTAGGAACTGCCAATTTTAATCACAATCCTGACACAAACAGTCACTAAAGATGAGAGTACTAGAAACGATGTCTGTGAGGAATTTGACAGCAGAAAATGTAGTCTGGTAAAAGAGGGTGCCATGAGGACAAAAGACAAGTTTTCAGCTCAAAGATCCTATGGGGCACTACGTTAGCCTCACCGAAGAGAACTTTCTGAATTGAGAGATAAGTAACAGTGAGTTACTTGGCCTTAAGGGCTTTGTCACTTAAATCAATCACAGAGAGCTACCGTGTGTGTGTGTGTGTGTGTGTGTGTGTGTGTGTGTGTGTGTCTGTGTGTGTCTGTGTGTCTGTGTCTGTGTGTGTGTCTGTCTGTCTGTCTCTTTGCCATGCTGGCTGGAAAGCCAAGGCCTTGTGCATGCTAGCAAAGCCCTCTATCACTGATTCATATCCCTTGCCCAAAGCAGTCACAGACACAGAAAGGTACTTTAAGTGTCTGATAGGGAAGCGGTGGAATAGAGTGAGCTGGAGTTTAGAGCTTATATTGCAAGTTCACACAGGGGAGGGTGCATGCACAGAATCCATCTTGGCACCTACTAAACAGTCAACTAATGTTCCATAGAGAATGGGAAAAAGGAAAGAAGAGAAGGAAAAAATGACTACTTTTGAGTCTTTTCTAGACCTAAGATTCATTCCATTACCAGTTTCTTTTCAAAACTCAAGCCATTTTGGTAGAATTTGGGTGAAAAGATAAAGGACATAACATAGTATATATCTCAATGTAGAGCTAGTTCCTTTGTATTAAAAAAAAGTAAAACTGGGTACTAGTGGCTCATAATCCTAGCTACTCAGTAGGCTGAGATCCAGAGAACCACACTTTGAAGCCAGCCCAAGCAGAAAAGTCTTTAAGAAATAACTCCATCTCCAAAAAATAAACAAACAACAAAAAGCTGGGCTAGAGATATGGCTTGTAACATAGAGCACCAGCCAAATAGCTAGGAGGCCAAGTTAAAAAACCCTGGTATAAAAATAAGCCTAAACAGGTCACCACTTCCTTCTGCTATACCCTTTTGTTCTGATTTCTCTTAAAAGCAATAGAAGGTCATTCTGAAAGTTCCTGCAGAACTTCCTGCCCCTTCCCCCAAAGATTAAAGTACCAGTCATAACATTAGGAATGGACTACTTGAAGAAAAGAACTTTTCATAGTAATAGGACTTCTCCACTCACCAAAACAAATAAATAAACAACTGCAAACAAAACCAAAACTAATTCCCACAAATCTGCAGTAAGAAAAAAGAACACACAACTGAAGCACACTAATCAGAAATTAATCATTTCTGAACCCCACCCTGAAAAAGCCCCCCAGAGGTACCTTGGAGGGAGCATTCAGTTCAATGGATTCTGCCAAAGCTGACCAGAAGATAATCTTCACATTTTCCTTCTCAAAGTATGTGGCCCAGGCACTGCGCTGCTCCTCAGTCAACAAGTCTGCTTTGTTTATCAGAATTACGTTCTCCTTATTGGCATCAATCTCTTTCACGTAACATTCCTAGGCAGGACAGACATTTAGAAGGTTCTCTTCCAACAAGCAAAAAATTAGGGAAATAACACTGATATCTCTAACAAATGTTTTTATTGCTCTCAGTTTTAATTTTTTTTAATTTAAAGATTAAGACTCTTGGTAAGCTTTGACAAGAGCTTTCATCATTAAGATTTCTGTTACTCATCAATTTAAAAATATGTTCATCCTTACATGTAGTGTTATCCAGTGGTGTTTTATAAACTTAGATCTTTTGTAAAACACCCAAAGGAGTAATATGTAAGATAGGAGAAGAAATAATGAGATAGACTAAAAACAAAGTGACTAAATAATCTAAAACGAGCTAAATGCTATTTAGATTGGTGCCTCTTGAAAAATTATAAATCAGCAAATGTGTATTAATAAAGTGGCCTGTAAACGAAAGTGTAGGAAGCCCATGCAAGTATTTGTGCCTTTCTGCAGATGGAAACAACTGTTGGAGAAAACATCTGTGTAAACAGTGTTATTATGTAAGCCTCTGACCTTGGAGAGGAAGCAGGCCTAGTTAAACAAAGCAAGAGAAGACAGAATGCTTGTCTATAGTTACTGCAGTAAGGGGTGCTGTTCTCCCCTCTACTCTGAAGTCAGAAATCAAATGTTACTTACCAAATCCTCACATCTAAACAGGAGAGGGTTTCGAGCATCTACTATCTGGACCACAATATCACTGGGGGGAAAAAGTGAGAGAATCCAGTGACTCTAAAGTAAATGAGATCAGTTAGCATATACCAAAGGTGAGAGTGGCAAACACTCAAATACTAAGCTAGCACTTGACTTTTTTTTTTTTTTTTGGGCGCTGTCCCTCAGCTCTTCAGCTCAAGGCAAGCGCTCTACCACTTGAGCTACAGCGCCACTTCCGGTTTTCTGGTGGTTTATTGGAGATAGGAGTCTCATGGTCTCTCCTGCCCGGGCTGGCTTTGAACCGTGATCCTCAGATCTCAGCCTCCTGAGTAGCTAGGATTACAGGCGTGAGCCACCAGCGCCCGGCAGCACTTGACTTTTTTTTTTTTTTTTTGGGTCCAGTCATGGGGCCTGAACTCTGGGCCTGGGCACTGTCCCTCAGCTCTTCAGCTCAAGGCTAGCGCTCTACCACTTGAGCCACAGCGCCATTTCCGGCTTCTTTGTTTTTGCTTATGTGGTGCTGAGGAATCGAACCCAGGGCCTCAGGCATGCAAGGCAAGCGCTTTAACCACTGAGCCACCTTCCCAGCCCAGCACTTGACTTTTTAATGTACAATTATTCTCAGTTAATATACAAGGAAATTGAGGCTTAGAGCAATTATATAAGCAGCCCAAAGTGTGGGAGTTATACAGGGACCCAGCTGGTCTAGACCAGAGGTCATGCTCTTAATTGTAACATATACAGTCTAGAAGGATCATGATGTCATGTTACTAATAAAACTTCCTTTATAGCTTCTATTACCCCCTTTTGTGTGGTGAAAGATTACAAATACCTCATTGCAAAGTAAGTCTACTAAGTGTTCATTACCCAGCCTTCATTCACTAAGGCCTCAAAAGAAAATGAACAAATCACTGGCTGACAGCTGTCACTACAGACGCCAGTATCTTATTCAAACTAGGACTGTCAAGAAAGAGCAATGATCCCTAGCAAACAGTTTGGAGAATGTTTAAATGGCACAAACACAAGGCAGCAAAGCATCAGCTTAAGATGCCACATTGAAGCACAAATGATGAGCCCAATTTCTTCCATCACACCCAAGAATAAGATCATGCTGCGACAATGGCACCCACCCCTAGAGTCCCTTACAAGGCCCACCTGTGATAGTCACTGGAAAGACAGAAACTGGAGTCTCACCACCCTGTAGCAGTCTCCTCAAATGCTAAGAATCCTGACTGGGCTAACCAATCCTTTCCTGAGGTAATTCTTTGCAGCTATACTCAACACCAAGGATCAAGGTTACCACTCAGGGTAGGGTTACCAATGTTCAAAGCACATTTTCTTCAACATGGTTAAAATTCTAGCATAATCTTATGATTCAGAGGAACTCAGAGTTGTTAATTTTTTTCAACACCCAAATCTCTTACGGGGGTGGGGGAATGGGCTTCTGGGGCATGCCTGGGGCCCTCTCTGCACTGCTTCATGAATCTATGTGTCATCCTTGAGCAGGGAGCCAGCTAATCTTGTCTGTATCATTCCAATTTCAGTATATGTGCTGCTAAAGGAAGCACAAGTTGCTAATCTTTAAAAATATATAATTTTATTGTTATTATTAAGGTGCTGTATAGAGAGGTTACCATTTTACAATACAGGTAATGAGTACATTTCTTTTTCGGACAATACCACCCTTTCCTTTGCTTTCCCCCAGTGTATACTATGATTACATCTGCTCACCCTTCTTCCCTCCCTTTCTGCTGCACTCTCTGTGCCTTGTCCCCAAGAAGCAGAAAAAGAAAAAAACCACAACCACCACCAAACCACCAACATATATAACCCATGTTCAGAGTTACTAATTTTTGGATTAATGGTTTTTAAGTTCTCTAAATTAAGCTGGTCCAATATTTCCTTTAGGGCAATATCTCACTTTCAAACAGAATTAAGCTGAATGACTACAAAAAAAAAAAATCAAGAAAGCTGGATAGGCAAGAATCACAAGGTCCACAAACACTATGTCTATCAACCAAACATGCAGAAGGAAGTCAACAGCTTGAAAACACCAGTAAGACATTTCAGGAGGGCACTGGTGACTCTTGCCTGTAATCCTAGCTACTCAGCAAGTTGAGATCTGAGGATTATTTTTGAAGGCAGCCTGGGCAGGAAAGTCCATGAGCCTCTTCTCCAATTAATCACAGAAAAAGCTGGAAGTGGTGCTGTGGCTCAAGTGGTAGAGCACTAGCCTTAAAACAAAAAGAAGCTCGAGGACAGCACCTAGGCCCAGAGTTTAAGCCCCAGGAATGGCAAAAAAGAAAAAATAAGAAAAAAAAGAAAAGAAAGGACATTTCAGACTAGTTTGTTTCACATGCTGGTTTAGGATACCAAGTGCCACTGCGTAACAGAAAACATTCAGGCAACTTAATATTAGTGCTTGATTTCATTGGATTACCCTGTTCTGCCACCAGGGCCTCAGCACTTTCCTGCATTTCAATGACATGTGACACATCGTATCTTTTCTGATAACTATACTGAAATTAAAGAGGCAGATGGCTTAGACAGCCTGTTAGCAAACAGGAGACATCTGGTATAGAGAAGTAACCAATAAATATTTCCTGTTAAAGATATGGAAGTAGTCAATTTATTAATATTTTTATGTAACTCCAATCTATCCCTGCGTGATTAAAACTATATTCCTTGAATTAGAAACATATTCTGTTTAAAAACTGTTATTTAAAAAAGAGATGTGTAATAAAAATTACAGTACAAGTAATATTGCAATCTAATTGAAGCTAGAGGTTTCAACAAGTACAGAATGACTCTGGGGAAGTCAGTTCTAATTTAGAGGCATAAAAAATGTATAAAGGGGAGTCTTTAATTCTCATTTCCTGCATGGGGAGCAGGAAATATTTCTCTTTTTGTTTCTTCCTACTTGAATCCTGTTATACTAAAATAAATCCTTGTTTATAACTTTTAACTTACAATCCTTTTTTGTGAGACATCTTGAAATGTTTTTCATAAGTGGATCTCATGAGATTTTGCATGGAAACTGGGAAGCAGAGGGAAGCCCTCTTCCGTGCTAGAAATGGATGAGTCTAAAGGTATGGAAGGTGTGTAGCTTTGGAATGTTTCTCTAATTCTGTTAGCCATGGTAGAACCTTTCTGTCTCCTCTCCCAGATTCAACATCAGAGGAAGGACAACCAACGCAGGGATGGATAAGGAGAAAGGAGGAAGGAGGAAGTTTACTCATTCCTCCTCCTTCATTCCCTATACTATTATTAATGAGATTTAGTACTGTCACAAAAGCACCATAGAGCTCTGCTTTCTTTTCCTTGCATTTCCTTTCTCTCATTTTCTCTCCGCATCCTTTCTCCCCTCATTCTTTTTTTGATGGTACTGAGGTTTGAACTTAGGGCCAGGACAGTTGTCCCTTAGCTTTTTCACTCCACTTCAGCTTTTTGCTGGCTAACTGAAGAATCCCATGGACATTCCCTGCCTCGCTGGCTTTGCACCAAGATTCCCAGCCATCAGCCTCCTCAGTAGTTAGGATTATAGCTGTGAACAACCAGTGCTGGCAGAAATAAGATTTTAAACTCCTAATGAATCTAGCTGCTTCTGTTCTAAGAACTTAAGAAAAATAGGTTTTATCTGAAATGCAAATGTGACAGCATCTAATAGTTTTAAAAAGTAAGCCATATAGTTCGGTGCTGGTAACTCACACTTGTAATCCTAGCTACTTAGGAGGCTGAGATATGAGGGTATCGGTTCAAAGCCAGCCTGGGCAGAAAAGTCTGTGAGATTCTTTTTTTTTTTTGGTCGGTCGTGGGGCTTGAACTCTGGGTTGGGCGCTGTCCCTCAGCTCTTCACCTCAAGCAAGCGCTCTACCACTTGAGCCACAGCGCCACTTCTGGTTTTCTAGTGGTTTGTTGGAGATAGAATCTCACAGACTTTGCTGCCAGGGATGGCTTTGAACCACAATCCTCAGATATCAGCCTCCTGAGTAGCTAGTATTATAGGCGTGAGCCACCGGCACCCACTCCATGAGACTCTTATCTCCAATAAACCACTCAGAAAACCAGAAGTGGTGCAGTGGCTCAAGTAGTAGAGCACTAGCCTTGAGCTGAAGAGCTGAGGGACAACATTCATGCCCAGAGTTCAAGTCCCATGACTGACAAAAAAAAAAAATAAACCATAGTTGTAGATGTTCTAAGATAAAGAACTTTTAATGCCATGTCCTGACTTTTAGTTACAGATAGTAATATGTATCTCAATCTGGAGTTTTTCAGGGCTAGGGCAGATACCAATTAACTTCTAAGTTTGAGAGGACTTTTATTTTTTTTTACTAGTTTATCTAGGGTTTTACAATCAGGTCTTGGTCATCTCTGAAAGGGGCTTTGTTATTACCATCAAAGACAGGGATTCAAATCCTATAGAATCTAGACATTTCCAGCTAAATTTTGAATTGCTTCTTTGAGGCACTAATATCAAGAAGGGCTTTCTTTTCTTTTTCTTTTCTTTGCCAGTCCTGGGGCTTGAACTCAGGGCCTGGGTGCTGTCCTTGAGCTTCTTTTACTCAAGGCTAGCACTCTACCACTTGAGCCACAATACCACTTCTGGCTTTTTCTGTGTACGTGGTATTGAGGAATTGAACCCAGGGCTTCATGCATGCAAGACAAGCACCACTGAGCCACCTTCCCAGCCCCAAGGTTTTACTTTTAACACTCAGTGACTCCTGGAGGAAGGAGATTGATTTTAAATCTTTTATTGACTCATAGGACTAGGATTTTTGAGCCAGTACTGGGAAATGAACTCAGGGGCCTCATATTCTTGCTCAGCTTTTTCTGCTCACAAGTGGGACTTCATCACATGAGCCATGCCTCCAGTTTTGGCTTTCTGCTGGTTAATTGTAATTAGAGATTACAGTCTCTTGGATTTGTGTGCCCAGGTTGGCACAAAAAAGTAAGAACAAAAACAAACAAAAAAATCCACCAAAAACCTAGACACATTAAGCCAGTAAGAAACAAGCCTGGTCATGCTGCAGAGCCCGAGCAAGCTCTGAATCAGCAGACTCAGCTTCACCTAAGCACAAGTGAGGCACAGGACTGAAATATGAGTAGTGAGCTCCATACTGGCTCTGCTGCTCCATTCTGCCATGCAATCACAACCCATCTAACATTTCCCATTCCTCCACCCCAACAGCAGAGGGTGGATTTATTATGGAGAATAAGAACCTAAGAGGCTTTACAACTGAGACCTCAGGCACTGGAGAAGATGGAGAAGAGAACAGGGATTAAACATAAGTTTCCCTACTACACTGGGAAGATGCTCAGCTCCCACTCTGCTTGCGCCATTCCCAAGAGGTCATTCTTTGCTTTAAAAATCTGACTGGCCGGGCTGGGAAGGTGGCTCAGTGGTAGAGCGCATGCCTTGCATGCCAGGCCCTCGGTTCCATTCCTCAGCACCACATAAGCAAAAAGAAAAAAGCCGGAAGTGGCACTGTGGCTCAAGTGGTAGAGCGCTAGCCTTGAGCTGAAGAGCTGAGGGACAGCGCCCAGGCCCAGAGTTCAGGCCCCATGACCGGACCCCCCCCCCAAAAAAAAAATCTGACTGGCCCTGCAAATACTAATATATTGCATTCCAACCAAATATAACTGATGCCTACCTAGCCTCCCAATAGAAAGGTTCACCAGTTGGCAAACTCTACCCAAATGGACAGGCTTGCCAATCATTATTAAATGAACCAACAAACATCACTAGATATTTGAGGAAGTCTCTTAAAGAAAAATCAGAAATCAGCGAATAAATAGAAAAGGAATAGGGCAACCTAGGAAGTACAAAAAATTGTGAAACAAGAGCAAAACTAAGTATGTGGGTGGGCCTTCTCTCACAGGGAGGAGTGTGGTGCTGAGCACGGTGCCATTCTCCTTGGAAACAAGACAGGCTGCCAGCAGCTGCTGAGTCCACTGGGCTGGGCAGAACTCCCAGGAGAGTGACACTGGGCTGCCAAGCTCCACTCAAGCCAAATAGTAAGAGGGCCTAAACGAAACCTGCAATCACAGCAAGCTTTTCTCGTTGTCACCCTGTTGCTGATAACCTCACATTCCAGCCCAACAGCTCTCCCCCTGTTTCTGGAGAACAGGGAAGTGTGCTGCCTGTAACTTTTTGAAAAAACGGAGACATATCTCACCTCCTAAAATTCACCTCCTTTAAGGTGAGCAATCCAATGGTTTTAAGTAGACTGACAAATTTGCGCAACCCTCACCACTATCTAATTCCAGAACATTTTTTTATCACCCTTAAAAGAAACATTAAGTTATCTTACAAGTTTAATTCAAGACCTGTTTTCTTGCTAACAATGTTAAGTGTGATGTTTTCCTGAGAATCCCAACTAAAACATCCTGTTTCCTAATGTTCTTATTTAATAAGTACATTTTATGGATTTCAAAGAATTCAGCCTGAAAGTTCCTTGTTAAGAAGTATCATTTTTTTTTCTTCTTTGTGGTTCTGGGATTTGAATTCAAAGCCTCAAACATACTAGGTAGGTACCCCACCTCTTGAGTTAAACCCCTAATCCTTTTGGCTTATTTTTCAGGTAGGGTTTTACATTTCTGCCCAGGACCAACTTTGAATCTCAATGCTCCTGATTCTGCCTCTGGTGTAGATGGAATTACACATAGGAACCATTGCACCTGGCAAAAAGCATCATTTTAAAGGTCCCCAGCACTCAGGAAGCAAAGGCAGAGAGATTGTAGGTTTGAGGATTGTGTGGACCAACTTCCTTTTTGAAAGAATTATTTAAATATAAGGAAAATAGTTCAGAACTCTTTGAGGGAAAAGAAAAAGATCTTCTAATTACATCAAAGAAATTAGATTAAGAGAGCTGATCAGCTTCTAACAATCAGAATTCTGTGTTACATGGAAAAGAACAAAAATATCCTATTTTCAATTTATCAAAATAATTTGAGATTACAAATGTGTGCCAACATTCCAGGCTTATCCTCTCCAATTAAAACAAACACACACAACAACAAAAACTATCCAGGTATTATGGTACCAGCCTGTAATTTCAGTACTTTACAGAGACAGATGGAAGATATTTGAAAGTTGGAGGCCAGTTTATAATACATAGCAAGTTCAAAGGTACATAGTAAGACCCTGTTTAAAACTAAAATTTCAATTGCCCTTTTTTCTACAATAACACAGTACACTGCATTCTTACCTGCAATATAGCAGGAACCACACTGTTTTTCATTTTTAGTAGGAATTATCTGAGCTCAGGGATTGTACTTGTATCTGTGTGCCCCCAGTGCCCAGAACTTTGATTAGTAGACAGCTAAATCCCATCCACTCCCCCAATTAACACCCACAATCTTTATAGGCAAGAATCTACATGTGTGTCAGAATTCACCTCATAGAAAACATTCACTAGTCTCACTAACTTGTCAACACACTCATGTTTTAATAACAAAACACTATTTTAACTTTTTGGTACTGGAAATATTCTACTATTAAGTTATATCTCCAGAACATAAACCACAGTATTTTAAAGGAAATATAGTGTGTGTGTGTGTGTGTGTGTGTGTGTGTGTGTGTTGTACCTTTTTGTGGTGAACTGGAGAGTCTTGTGGACTTTTCATGCCTGGGCTTGCTTGAAACCACAATCCTCAGATCTCAGCTTCCTGAGTGGCTAGGATTACAGGTATGAACCATTAGCACCTAGCTCATATTTAAAAAAAATTATTCAGTAGCCTTTTATGTAACTTAACACTACTCCCTCATTGATTCAGAATCCATGAGTGCATATCAACATTCAAATACAATACCAATATCCAGGAATGCCTGTAATCCCAGCTCTTAGGAGGCCAAGGTAGGAGGATCTTAGGTTTGAGAGCAGCCTGGACTATATATTGAGTTTGAGGCCTGGGCTACATACTGAGACTCTGAATCAACAGAATAAAAAAAGAAAGACTTGGAAGGATTTAAATGTGAGCAGAAGATTTCTGTTTTCTTTCCTTAAGGATAAATCTAGTCCTAGCACAACATTTTGTGTAATGAATATTTCACAAAAGCTAGAGTTACTCACCTTCTCTCAATGACCCTCCAGAGCTGGCGCCAAAAGTCCAAGTTGCGTTCAAATGGAGTCAGCATCAACTTTTGTTCCTCTTCTAGCCTGGCTTTAGAATGAGAAGTTTATATCTTTGCCAAAAAAAAAAAAAAAGCATAAATGCTCTAATTCATTGTATTTAAAATAGTGTCAGATCAAACCAAGGGCTTTACAAACATACTAGATGAGCAATCTACCACTGAGCTGCACACCCCCAGCCCTTTCATATACTGAGTCTACATAAAAATAAAATGTATTTATATCATTCTCCACCAAGATCAAATATTCTTTTTTTGGGGGGGGGGGTCCGGTTGTGGGGCTGAACTCTGGGCCTGGGCGCTGTCCCTCAGCTCTTCAGCTCAAGGCTAGAACTCTACCACTTGAGCCACAGCGCCACTTTCGGCTTTTTTTTTCTTTTTGCTTATGTGGTGCTGAGGAATCGAACCCAGGGCCTCATGCATGCAAGGCAAGTGCTCTACCACTGAGCCACCTTCCCAGCCCCTCAAGGCAAATTCTTAAAGTCAAATACTCACCGGACAAGTTGACGCCTCCATTTCAGGAAGTTATCTTTCTCTGCTTGTTTGAGTTCTTCTGGACTAGTATTTTTGTCCCAATTTGGTCTGAAATAATCATAGAAGGAGAAAATGCCATATATAAAGAGAATTTGGATAAAATAATGGTAACAGAGACGCAGGAAAAATGTGAACAGCAGCTTTAAAATTTCCTATTCAGTGGTTCTGTATACCTTTTAATACCCTAAACTTTTGTTCAACTCACCTCCTGGGTATACACAAGAACTGCCTGTTCTCCTCGTGGAGTTTCTTAATTCTCTGACTTTCCTCGAAAGACAGCAGTCCAGTTCTAGCCTCAGGGAGCACAAACTTAATGTTAAGCTTCTCTGTTCACAGAAAAAGAAAAGTATTGTTATTTAAGAGGCAAAATAAAACATGAGTCATTTTGATAAACCTGGAAAACTATTAATATGAGAGCCTGAGATAGTATTTAACGTTACATACAGAGAATAATTTTAATCCAATGGGCTGGCAAGGAAGATTCCAGTTAGAATAGGTGAACAACCATATTGCTGTAACTATTACACATTATGATAAACATTCACCCTTACTCACTGCTCTCATGAGTTACTTTAAAAAGCCTACATATATGAACTAGAGAGGCCTCTGTGCTCAGGTTCTAGTTCTCTAGATGTCTGGCCTTTCCCATTTCATCTCACACAGTACCACCTAGTCCCCATGGCAATGGTTACTCCCCTGGAGACAAGACCTTGAGAAGCCAGCTAAGCTTCTCCTAAGATGCCCAGATGATCAAAGATATTCAGCAACATTCCTTGTCCCCTTAGACAAAGACTGCAGCTTGTTACTCATCTCATCAGACTACAGTAGTACACAGAACCTTCCTAGTCCAGTAACCTGAATTACAGCAAACCCAGTCATGGTTCTGGCTCATGTCATCACCCTCAACAACAGTCAACTCATACCTCCTTCTTGCCCCTTACTTGGTGCCTCTTTACATTAACATCTTCCAGTGGTGATCTCCCATCCCTGTTTTGTTTTGTCCACCTTCTGCACACACTCTGGTCCCTTGATCTCAGTCCATTGCCCACCATCTAGCTTCACTTCTTTCCCCATTTAGCCAAAAAGACATGAACATAATTCCATCACCTTCTAACTAAACCATCAAGTTCCTTTTTTCACTACAGCAGCACTGTGTGCTTCCAATTTTCCACTCCTCGTGTTGCTAGCAGTGAGTGTGCACTGCGGTAAGGATGACACAAGAGTGCCATGCATATGTACCAGGCTCCAGTTAAGCACTCAGCACCTCCCACAGAATGAAAACTCTATTTGCTTGGTTTATTGTTCCCATTCCCTAAATGGTAACTGTTGCTCTTTACCAACTGTATTCCTTTTCTGCCCACGCCTTGAAGATAATCTTGCCATTATCTTATAAAGAGAAAAACTGGAGCTGTTGGGTCTGCACCTTCTCATTTTCACACCGGTGCATGTGTGTGCCATCTGGCCTCAGAGAAGCTGTGTGCCTTCTCTTGCCTGATCTAATCTTTCCTGCTCTGCTTTTGATCCCATTCTATTCTCATTTCCTTCTAGATTAAAACTGTGCTCTTCACCCAACTACTTTATCTTTTGAAAATTTAAGTCTTAATTACACAACCATGTAAGTCTCCCTATTAAAAAAAATCCAACAGGGCTGGGAAGGTGGCTCAGTGGTAGAGCGCTTGCCTTGCATGCATGAGGCCCTCCCTGGGTTCGATTCCTCAGCACCACAAAAGCAAAAAGAAAAAAGCCAGAAGTGGCGTTGTGGCTCAAGCGCTAGCCTTGAGCTGAAGAGCTGAGGGATAGCACCCAGGCCCAGAGTTCAGGCCCCATGACCGGACCCCCCAAAAAAAAATAAATAAAAAATCCAACAATATTATAAACCTTCCCTTTGACCAACTTCTAATCTTTTCCTCACTTCTAAAATTCTAGTTGCTACTTTTGAGGTTGTCAATTTTATGTGTAGCCTTCCTAGTCTTTCTTCTAATATTCACAAATGTACATTAATTGGTCAGAATCACAGCTCTAGGGTCCTTACTACTGTGGGATCAAACTTATTAACTTATTCTGCCAAACCAAATGTTGCCTTTTCAATCTCCCCTCGTAACTTTATTAATCTTGATCACTCCCCCCCCAGCCTCTCTCTCTCTCTCTCTGCCATAAGCATACACTAAAATGGTTTGAGGAAATATTACTACAGACATTTTTTTGGTGGTATTGGAGTTTGAACTCAGAGACTTGACATTAAGTAGGTGCTCTACTACTTCCTTTTGTCTCTAGTTACCAAGATGAAAACATGACCAGTTTCACATACACTCAGCAATAAACAACTTACCAGCTACAAACTCTGTCCCTGCAAGTTCTGCAGTTGCAAGAAAGTCATCAAGGGAGCTCTGCTCAGTCACTGACTGAAGATTAAGACGACCCCATTCATAGCCATCATTGAGTTCACTTGTGTGCAACTATAAACAAAATTCAGGGTGTAAACGACAAAGGCACTCTTCTTCTCTGATATCCAAACAGGCTCTAAACTTCCTTTCTAAACCATTCTATGCATTTGAGGAGAATTTAGCAGCATTAGAATCTGTACTCATAATTATTTAAACGAGAACTTGCTTACCTCATAGTTCCTTTCATCATTAAATTTAATTTTCAGAATCTTTTGAAATAAATTGTCTTGTATTTCATCTTATAGTAAATTTCATAGTCTTACTAGTTATGAAACTGAGGCTTAGTTAGTTAGTTAGTTTTTTAATAATAGTTAACAAATTTCTTATAGTCACAAGCAAAGTGGTAGAAGTACAACCTGAAGCCAGGCTGACTACCAGCCAGTTGATAAAAAATTTTGACAGAGACTAAAGAAAGAAATACATTTTAAAGCAGGGTACAAGTGGTTCATGCCTATAATCCTAGTTACTCAGGAGTCTGAGACCTGGAGGACTGAAATTCAAAGACAACCTGGCAGAAAAGTCCTTGAGACTACAGCTACAATTAGTCAACAAAAGGCTGTACTGGAGGTGTGGCTCAAGTGGCAGAGCACCAGATACAAGTAGAAAAGTGAGCAAGACACACTCTCAAACACACACACAAAGTTTAAAAAATATATTTTATATTGTGACCTAAAGATGTGTGATATACAACATAGTGATTCAAATGTATAAGGACCAATCATCACAGTAAAATGGAAACAAAGGAATTTTAAGGCAAAGTTACCTTATCACAGGTAACATAGGTATTTCTTATCCTACCTTACTTTAGAAAATAAAATAAAATGTCAGTTGTAAATGACTAAATTGATTTCTAGACACAACCCAGTTAAAAACAACACCATTCTCTTAGGGGAGGAACACAAAGGCACAATGCCTATGTGCCTCTGATCATATAAAACAATATTTATTGAAATGAACTCCAGGAAATGGAAACAAGAGTTTTTTTCTTTGTTGTGTTGTATTTTGTCATTCATGGGGCCTGAACTCTGGGCCTGGGTGCTGTCCCTCAGCATTTCAGCTCAAGGCCAACACTCTACCACTTGAGTCACATAAACATTTCCAGCTTTTTCTGCTTATGTGGTGCTGAGGAATAGAACCCAGGGCCTTATGCATGCAAGGCAAGCACTCTACCACTGAGCCACCTTCCCAGCCCTCTTTGTTGTTATTTATTTTCTTTTTGTCTTTTTGCTCAGTTATCTGTCTTTGGAAGAATAAGGGAGGGCACAGAAATTGAGGGACAGGGGCTGGGAAGGTGGCTCAGTGGTAGAGCGCTTGCCTTACATGCATGAGACCCTGGGTTTGATTCCTCAGCACCACATAAGCAAAAAGAAAAAAAAAGC